GAGAGAGCTCGTGGATCAAACGTCGCAAATTTCTCTACAAGTTTCAAGATTCAAGCAATCAAATTCAAGCTCAAGAACGAAGAACAAATCAAGTTCAAGCTCAAGAACGAAGAACAAACCAAGGTCAAGTTCAAGCAATCAAACTCAAGCTCAAGAACAAGATCATCGTTCGTGGCAACAAACATAGATTCAAGTTCAAGTTCAAAGGTCCTTGAATTTATTTACTATTGAAAAGAAGAATCAGAGGATTCATAGAGATTGTAACACCGAAATATTTGAAATAAAATACTACGATTGTTACAATATTTTTTGGTCTTGATTTTATTTTCTCGACGCAATTTATTGTCTACAGCGACATCTGAGGCTGGTATTAAGACTACCATTTCGGGACTTGGCTTTATTTTATCATATTTTGAACCCTAGGTCCTAGAGTAGGCGATTTTGATAGAGTATTTTCATATCAAATCATTGGATAAATGTCTCTAATCAATTTCCAATTATATTTTGTGATTATACCTTAGATTTAACATCAAATTCATGAGAATCCAAAGAAAAATTTGGAAAAAATTGTAAAATCTTTCAAAATATAAAATGATGATTTGAAGAACGAATTGGTATCAAAACTTGATAATTTTTGTATGGTTGAACTCGTATTGGAATGGATGTTCGGGTTTTATAAATTTTATCGGATTCCGAGGTGTGGGTCCGGGGAGTTGACTTTTGATGACCTTTTGCAAATTGTATAAGGATCATAGCTTTGTTAATTGAAATTATTTTCTATTGAATTGTTTGATGTATTTAAGTCATCTTTGGCTAGATTGAGCCGAGAAATGTTGAATTGGTAAAGAAAAAGCTAAATTGAGTATTGAGTTAGCCGAATTAAGGTAAGTGTCTTGTCTAACTTTGTGTGGGGGAAACCACCCCCGAGGAATTGAGTTAATTGTTTTATCTTTTTATATGAAAGCCGTATACGCAAGGTGACAAGTGGGTACACAACCTATATGCGTTATTGACCGGTTTAGGTTGTGTAGTCTTTTTCCATGCTTTTGATTAAATTGTTATAACATGTGATATCTCATTGTTAGACTACTCTTACATGCTCTATATGATATTGTTAGCACTTATTTACTTCTTACTCGTTATTTGGACCTTATATGACGTGGTTGAAGTCATTGTCTTCCTTATTGTCTTGTTACCTCTTAATTATTGAGTTATTCTATGACTTTGTGCATATCTACTACATGTCCAAATTGTTGTGATTTCCTGCTTAGTTATCACGTGCCTTACATGTCTTGTCATTTTGTAAAGGTTGTTGCATTCCTTTGATTTTTATGTAGTTCCCTTATTGCCTTGTACTTATACCCTGTAGAAATTCTGGTAAATTTAGTTATTGGATTATTGCTGTTGATTTAAATTATTATACGGGGGATCGGGTTGCACGCCGCAACATGTGAAATAAGGGACATGGTGGAATAAGGGAGGATATTCATATTGTGATATTGTTATTGTACGGTGAGATCGAGTAGCACACCGCAACAGGTAAAATTAGGGTGGATTGTTATGATGAAACAAGGGTGAATTATGATATTGATATTATATGGTGGGATCGGGTTGCGCACTGCAACATATTATGTTTATTGTTATGATATTGATATTGTACGGTGGGATCGGGTTGCACGCTGCAACATGGGAAATAAGGGTGAATTGATATGGTGGAATAAGGATGACTTATGATATTGGTATTATATGGTGGGATCGGGTTGCGCACCGCAACATATCTTGTATTTTGGTATCCCCTATTTTACTGTATTGGCTTCAATTCCTTCGTACGAGACTTTGATAATTTATATTTCTGTTTTTCACTATGTTTTGAGGATCGAGTTATTGTCATTGACTTATTGCCTTGTCGTCATCTCCTGAGCTCTTTTTCCGAATATTATTATTATTCTGGTGAATTAATTTTCAAGGTGAATTTACTACGTTGAGTCATTACCTCCCGCCTTGCTGAGTTGTTAGTAATATAGTGATTTAAAATAAAAGAACTAATATCATACTACCTTTTGTGGCTTCTAAATTAAGACTCGTCGTATATTTCGATGTTTACTATTTCTAATAATTGTTATGTTTTATTTCAATTGATTTCTCAACTTAATATCCTTAACCTATCTGAGGTTTTTATTTCACTTTAAAAGGAATCTTTATTATGTTTTAATTTAATAAATTCTATATTAAATTCAATAGCTTATTCGATGTTTTATTTTATTTGAAAACGTTATTTTTCTTCACTTAAATGATTTCTAAAATAAACTCATCGTTCTCATTGATTTCCTACTTGGTCTAGAAACTGTACTATTACTTTATGATATATAAATAGAATCTCTTAAACACCATAATTAACATGTGAAATAGATATTATGTACTGAGTAACACGTGGATTTTGCCGTGCAAAGTGAGATGGAAATATGTGGGCACAAGGTGCCATGCGTGTTAAAGGATTTGGAAGTTGTGATTATAATATGAGATTATGAGGATTGAAATTGTTAGAATTGGGTAGTAGAAACGATTCGATTGGTTGAGTTAACATCGTTTTCCCTAGTTGAACTCATTTATGCTTCATCCAGACCCCAATTAAGTTGTTGTTCAATTACTTGATTAATTCTCGTTGCTATTCGTGTTTCCTCTTATCGTTACTACTTTTGCAATTTGATATCCTTCTGCTATTGGTATTACTTTGATAGTCCTTTCTTGTTAGATTTAAGTCATATCCTGCATGTTATATATTCGGTAGTGTCTTGACCTGACCTTGTCACTACTCTACCATGGTTAGGCTTGATACTTACTGGGTACTACCGTGATGTACCCATGCTATGCTTCTGCACATCTTTTTGTGCAGAGCCAGGTACTTCGGATTGAGTTGGCTTGAGACTTATGTTTGGTGAGACCGGAGACTTCAAATTACACCTGTTGGGCGTTCGCAGGCTCCGAAGTCACCTTCTATTACATTTATTTCCATTGTTTCCTTTATTTCCAGAACAGTGATGTATGCATTATATATGTATAGTTACTCCTAGAAAAAGCTAATGATTTGTACTACTGATTTTGGGATTGTAACTTTTTATAAAGATTTCATTTCGAAATTTCTCGATGTCAATTAAATATTGTTGTTATTTCAGTTAATATTAGGCTTATCTAATTTTAGAAACTAGGTACCATCACGACTCCTTCGGAGGAATTTTGGATCGTGACAGATATAACACATGTAATGTTAGATTAACAACGAATGACTCGTAATGTATCAATAATAATAATAATACTGATATTAATATCTCATTAACATATTGTTGAATCACCATTTATTTGTCAAAAATGATAATTTTCAATAAGGGAAAGCGTATTTAGGTTTGGGGTCTAGACGTTAATAATAGACTATGCATGTGATTTAGTATAAAGCAAATGCAACAAAATCACATTTAGGTCGTTTAGTATAGACTTAGTTAAAATATATTATAGATCACTATAAACTTTTGAAATTTGTCCTGAAAAGACGTGACCGAGAGCAATTTATATGATGTGGCTTCACCTAAACTGAATGCTACATAAGCACATCTAGGTCGTTTCGTATAGACTCAGTTAAAATTTTATAGAGCACGACGACACACTTTTGAAATCTATTATAAGCACATCCAGATTTTTTAGTACATACCAAATTAAAATCGTTTAGTATGGACCGTTAAAATCTATTATAGACCTTATACATAAATCTGAAATGTTCATCTTCAACATCAAATCTGAAATTTCACTCAAAATCATCTTAAATCTTCTCCAAATTCCCTTAAATTTGAGATTTAAGACTCAAAAGATCCACAACAAAATCCCCACTCATAATAGTTCACAATTTCAAAACTTCTAATTATCAAGATTGAAACTCAAGCTTCAACAATGGCTGCCAATAGAGTATTTTAAATGTTCTTTCGACCTAGAAGAGGGAAGAAAAACAACGCGGGAATGGGTTGAGGGAGGAAAATATATGTATATATTTTTTTATAAGGGAAAAAATCTATCTTAATATTTCTGTTTCTTTGACTTATTTATTACTTTATTACTTTGGACCAAATCTTACTTTTTATAAATTTTGGACTGGTTTCGAATATTTCATAATGAGAATAAGCTTAACTAGCACTAATATAAAAAGTGTGTAAATTTTTTAAAATTAAAACTTAGAGTTCAAATATTTTAAAAAGACTTGAAAAGAGGTGCTGTTGCCAGAACATGCTCTGGCTAACATAGAGTTTGACTCATGCTCCTTTCTAAACTAGAAGCACCCACTGCCAGGGGCATACAAACAAATTTTGTAAGGGATGTTAGAAATTTCATAAAAGAACAAGAATTGATAACTTTAATTATCATACTTCTAGATAAGAAATAGCTTAGTCTATTAGGTTTATTGAGTCTTAAGCTAGAAAAGAATTAAATTCCGCTTCATCACAATTTTTAAAAACATAGATTCTCTCAAATATTTGCAACAAAGATGCTAGTTGAGGTTCAAACCTCTAACCTCTTAGAGCAATATCAAGCACATAACCCATGCGCCAAGAGATAATTTATGTCAAGTGGTGTCATTTTTTCCTACTTATCCGCTTTCTCACAGTATTAATACATATATTTAGTAAAACAATTCGACGATTGGTAACATGTACTTCCTTCGTTACAATTTATTTGATATTTTTCGCTAATCGATAGTCAATTTGATTATTTTTTGAAGCTAAATTGGATTAGATTAACTCAATATTTTTAAATTAAAATTTAAATATTCAAAAATTATACAAAAAATACTATAAGTAGAAATTTTTCTCATGTCAATTTGATAAAAAATATATTATAAAATAATGATCAAAGTTCACATAATTTGAATATCGGAAATTAAAAAGTACCACATAAATTGGGACGGACCGAATAGTAATAATGAAGTAAATAGCCATCAGAAAATAACTTGTTAAATGGGTACGTATAAACTCATTTTCTACGGATAAGTAAACAAAATCCAACAAATTACATTGCATACCCAAATAATTTTTTTGTTAAACTATCAAACTATAATTGTAAAAAGCGCACCCAAGAAAAGTGAAGTTCAAGAAGAGACCAAAAAGGCAAAACACTAATGGAAGTAAAAGAAACAAGAAGAAATTAAGTTAAATACTGCTGGAGATAGCAGACAGAAAAAATTAGTTCAAACTTGACTCTCAGTATTAATGTCATTGGAGTTTTTCTTGGCAAGATTGTGCATCCAAACCTTAAGTAGTCTTCTTTTAACTCCAACTTGTTGACAAAACTGTTGAACCATAGCTTCCTCTTGCTTTTGCATCTTCCACCCAATTTTCTCAGCAAAGTTGAGCATTTTCTCCTTTTGTTCTTGACTAAACTTTGTTCTGAATCTCTTCTTCACCAATTGTTGATAATTAAGTGGCCTAGCCATAACCCCACAACCACCATTTATTATACCATCTTCTTGATTAATACCTGGTATTGATCCCATGTGGTTATTATAAGACATTATCATCTGATGTGGTGCTGCTCTAGAAGCAGGGTACACAAATGCTTTATGAGGATGTCCCACATAAACTTTTCTTACGAGCTCACCTTCTGTTTCTTTTCTATGGAAATTTCTATGGCAATTGCAAACAGAGCAAGTGAGGAATTCAAAAGTACCTTCTTCACCACTAGGCATGAATTCTCCACATCCATCAGTTGCATTTCCACCCATAGCTGCTGCATGGTTCTCGAGGCATTCCTTGTACTTCATCATTTTCTTATTAGAGGAAATTGGGGGTCCATTTTTGGAAGTTATTATTTGTGAAGAGGGTATTATGTGATTATTTTGGGGTGCAGGGTCATGATGGATCATGTGCCCATGACCATATGCGCTGTTAATTGGCATTGCCATTTCTCCTTCTTCGTTTGGAACTTCCATTTCTAACCTCTCAAATTTCTTTAGTATTCTTGTTTTTTTTTTTTTTTTTTTTGGAGACAGAAAAAAGAAAGAAGAAACAAGACAGGACAGGAAAAAGTCAACGGACAAAAAAGAAAACTACAATCTCCAGCTAGGTATATATTTCAAAGAATAAAATGAATTTTAACTCAAGTAAGCTAAGCTTCTTTAGCTCTTGGATAAATATGGAACTTAAAACAGCAGCTTCCATGAATATAGGAATAAAAAAACTGCAAATGATCAAGATGGGATTTTTATTTTTCTTAGGAAATGGAGTTTATTGGAGTAAAGTATTGTACTAAGAACAAGCGAAGAAAATGGGACCAAAAAAGGGAGAGGGGATGGCATGGACAGAAAAACAGAAGAGTTTTTTGCGCAGATGGCTTTTGCTAGTGAAGCATTAAACACAAGCTTATAGCAGTATATTGTGAAAGCCAAAAAGACTAGATGAGAGAGACAAAGAGGAATAGTATGAAAAGATTAATTATTATTGTGTTATTCTTTTTTTTTTTTGAAATTAAAAAAAAAAAAAAAGAGTAGGTTGCTTGCTTTGCTTCCACTATCAGGCACCATGTTTACGCCACATAGAGAGCAGTGTGTCATAATTTGGAAGACAGATATAGAGGAGGGAGGGACAAAGAGTGTTCCCATAAAAGAATGCTTTAAAAAGAAAAGAAATGACCTTTTAATAATATTAGCTAAAAAAACTCTCTAGCAAATAGTAATCTCAAGGTTTAGTTGCAAAGAAGTCTTAGTGGGATTTGATTATAGGTTTTTATATTCTATATTTGTTTTCCTTAAAAAAGTAGTAGTACTTCTCCAAAAAAGTTAAAAACTGAGTTTGCAAAAGACTCAAACAAACGCTTAGTTGGAGGAAAAAATTATTTTTGAGATAATGCAATGAGTTGAATGGTGCAAGAAGCACATGGATCTGCAATGCTATATTAGCGCAAGCAAGAGCTGTTGGTGCACATGTCGTTTACCTCAAAATTGCACATCAAATTTTTCCATGACTTTTTACTTTGAGGTAAACTTGAAATATCAAAGCACTTACCCTAAAAATAACAACAAAAATAATAATAATTTTTTTTAAATAATCAATATATTTACTGTCAATGGACATAAATGACAGAACTAAGACATGTCTTTTACAGAATCATAAAGGGATAGAAAAAAGGAAAATTACCAGTCATGTCCTCCTATAAGTACCTTATTACCAAAATTGGTAATTCGTAAAATACTACTAATATTAGTTATGCTACCAATATTAGCCAATAAACTATTTGTAGTAAAAAAAAAAAGAGGTTAATTTTTGCCTTTTTTTTTGAGTGAGTGTTATTAGAATAGATTTGGTACATTTTAAAGAGGTTGAATCTCAATTTGGGATAATTTGGTGGAGCTTTGAGATGGTTTAAATTAAAAATGCGAAATAGAAGATGAACGTGAAAAAAAGATAATATATATATTGTATTGGGTAAAATTAGCAGATGACAGGTGAATATTCGTTAAGTGAACACATGACAGTAAAGACACGTAGGAGATGCGTGAACAAATAACTGATACTGAATCTAAGTATGTGGCAGTGTTATATGATTCCCGGTGACATCAGAATTGGAGAAGAAAATTTAAAAGCAAGATACCAGTTGAAGAAGACAGTACTAAAGAAGCAGCTGTTACAAAGAATCTTAGTATTTACACTCAACTGTTATGTGGCTATTAATAGGGGTCTTTTTTCACTTTAAGAAGGAGCTTAACTTGGGGATTTTGTTTCTCCTAATTTAGCTATAGGTAAACTATTCATGGAAGGGCACGAAATACTCGTATGAAAAAATGTTAAACTTATTCTCTTATTTTGTTAACATTACTTTGCCTAAGTACTTTGTTCTTGATAATGTTCTAGCTACGAGAAAAGCATAATTCGAGGCTCAAGCTCATCTCTTCTTAAATTATTTCTTGCTTTATTCAATTTTTTTCTTTACCATTTCATTTTCTTGGAAACAATTTAATACACGTGTTTATATACCACATAATAAATACAACTATACCATTTTAGGGGTAAATATGTATCACATTATGTATTATTTTGTGTATCACATGTATATATATTCATGTATACCTGTGTGTGAGATACATATGTGATACATGTGTCACAAAAGAATCTTTCAAACTCGATTTTAACTACGAGTTTTGATACAAATTAATCCAAATCACCTCCAATCTTGCTCAAATTTTGTATGTTGCCTCATCTATATATTTTCAACGAATTCCAACCATACCCATTGAAAAAAAAATTCTATTTTTTAATATTTTATATCATTAGTAATGAATTTTGACTCTAAACTAGTCTAACTCGCCATTAAGCTTTGTCAAATTTTGCATATGGCCTCATCTACGTATTTTCAATGAATCGCAAATTCAAAACAAATCTTCTTTTACCTATATTTTTTGAATATGGTATATCATTGTTATTAGGTTACAGCGCCCAAAAGGCATTGAGTTTTGAACTTGTAACTTTATGATCCAAAGTAAAAATTGTGACATTAGATTATTTTTGTACATGGAATCTCAAAGAAAATGTTCGCTAGTGGTTCCTTTTGGCCGCTACTAATAAGAACTATTCCATGGACAGAGAACGTTATATTCCAGTCGAAGAAGTAAAACGTCCACACTTAAAAGACACTAATTACTTGGCTTTTGAACTTCACTTGCTTTTAAAGAAGCTAATTGGCTATCTTCAAGAAAAGGAAAAAGTGAATGAGGAAAAAAGTGACAGTTGGGGCAAAAGATAAAAACAATGTTACTCCTAGTTGATAAGATGATAGTATTAATAGCCAGGTGAGCAAATGCATGAAAAGTCAGTATAATAGCCTTTATGTTGTTTCATTATAAGAATGCAACTCATAACGTAGTTTCGTTTGGTTTTTTGCTCTTTCAAACAACTCGCTACTTCTTCTAGATCTTGCATGCAACTTCTATCTTCTGGAGTGATGACCCGATAGGTCATCTTATATTTTAGAATCAAATTCTATATTTTGAAACCTTAAAAATCTCATTTTAACCCTTCTCAATTTGTGTACGCATTACGAGCATATTTCTGAAAAGCTTTTATGTTAAAAACTGTGAAATATATGAAATTTTGCTTTGAAATCCATTTGAGTTGACTTCGGTCAATATTTTGAGCAAACGGATCCAGATTCATGTTTTGACAGTCCCGGTGGGTCCGTATCATGATTTTAGACTTGGGCGTACACCCGGAATCGAATTTGGAAGTCCATAGCCCGAGTTATCGGACCTTGTTGAAATTTGAAAGTTAAAGGCTTAATGAATTTGAAATATTTGACCAATAGTTGACTTTTTGGATATCGGGTCCGTATTTTAATTTCGGAACTCGACATAGGTCCAATACCATATTTATGACTTGTTTGTGAAATTTGGTGAGAAACGGAGTTGGTTTGACGTGATTCAGACGTCCGGTTGTGAAAGTAGAAGTTTCAAAATTTTCTTGAAAATTTCAATTGATTTGGTGATCAATTTGTAGTTCTAGGTGTTATTTTGGTGATTTGATCGCGTGAGCAAGTTCGTATGATGTTTTTAGACTTGTGTGCACTATTGGTTTAGAGCCCCGAGGGCTCCAGTAAGTTTCGGATAGGCTACAGAGTGAAAATTAGACTTAGAGCATTACTGGTTCTGAAATTTCTGTAACTGATGTCTGATCTCGCATTTGCGAGATTAGTGTTCGCATTTACGAACATTCCCCATGCTGACAGACTCGCAATAGCGAGCAAATTCTTCGCATTTTCGAAGAGTACCTGGGTCAGCCTTAGTTCGCATTTGCGATCAAGAGATTGCATTTGCGGGGATCCAGTGTTCGCATTTTTGGACAAAACTTCGCATTTACGAAGTGTGGGCTGGGCAAGCAGTGATCGCAAATGCGATCAATGGGTCGCAATTGCGGAAGGATCAGAGTTCGTATTTGCGAACTATTCGTCGCAAGTGCGATGAAAGTAGGGATGTGAAACCTTCGCATTTACGATAGGTTCTTCGTATTTGCAGGGCTCGTATTTTCGAACCCTAGGTCGCAAATGCGACACCTGCAACTAATCAAAAATTGACTTAAACAGGATTTTTGGTTCATTCTTCAAATTTTCAAACTCAAGAATTCTAGAAGCGATTTTCAAAGAACTTTTCTTCCCTAAGTCATTGGTAAGTGATTCTAAGCTAGTTTCTTTCAATCTTTCACTACTTTTCCTAAGATTTCAACCTAAAATCTAGAGTTTTCATAGTGAAAATTGGGGGGTTTTGGTAGAATTAGGGATTTTTGAAAAAAAGTAATTTAGACCTCAAATTGAGGTCGGATTCCAAATCAAATTACATAACCGGGCTCGCGGGTGAATGGGTAATCGGATTTGGGTCCGAATTTTGGGTTTGGACCAAGCGGACCCGGTTGTTGACTTTTGTTGACTTTTTTAATAATGACCTAAATTGATTTCTTTGTAAGTGTAGGTAGTTCCTAAGACTTAATTGGAATCGTTTGGTTGGTAATTTTCTAGATTCTATTGGTTCGGAGACTTGTTTGAAAGGAAAAGCTGTGGTTGAACTTTGAGTTTGGTCTTTGGAATGAGGTAAGTGTCATGGTTAACCTTGACTTGAGGGAATATGACTTGTTTGTCTATTTGCGACATGTTTAGTTGGGTACAACGTATATGTGAAGTGACGAGTACATATGTGATGTTGTTGGGTTAAAGCATGCGGGTGAGACTTGATTCCTTGTAATTATTGCTTCTTTGATCATGTTATCTATGTTTAGACTAGTTATTGTTAAATTGATCATTCTTATCATGTTTACGGATTTTTTTGGTGATAATTGGGTATTGATTTCAAAGTTGAGGTTGGTATTGTGGAACCAAATGTTGAAGTAAGACTTGTTCTTGTTATTCTATCTCATTGTTGTTATTTGTTCATTGCTTTATGGTGTGGGAGAGTGTTAATACACGAAGGGTGATGCCGTGCCATATTGGAAGTGTTAAT